TAACCTAACTTAACCAGACCTAACCAGACCTAACCTAACTTAACCTAACTTAACCTAACCTAACCTGACCTTCTACACATTGTTTATGGCGTGATGGGAGGAGGGTGGATAGGGGCAGCAGGTGGGAGGGATGGGAAGGGTGATGGGAGGGGGGTGGATAGGGGCAGCAGGTGGGAGTGATGGGAAGGGTGATGGGAGGGGGGTGGATAGGGGCAGCAGGTGGGAGGGATGGGAAGGGTGATGGGAGGGGGGTGGATAGGGGCAGCAGGTGGGAGGGATGGGAAGGGTGATGGGAGGGGGGTGGATAGGGGCAGCAGGTGGGAGGGATGGGAAGGGGGGTACAGAGCGTGTAAGGGGAAATACTTAAGAAGGGACAGGAAACAAAGGGATGGTGTTGAAAAGAGCTGAGTAGTGATAGGAAAGTTGGGATGTGGATCCCCTGGGGATGGGACAGGGGATGGGACAGGTCACGCCCAGGGTAAAGAGGACAGCAGGGATCAAAGAGTCCAGGGCAGAATGGGAAAGAGGAGGAGAGAGAGAGAGGGGAGGAAGAGAGCGAGGGACGGAGAGGGGGAGGAGGGAGAGGGGGAGGAGGAGGGAGAGAGAGAGGGAGAGGGGGAGAGAGAGAGAGAGGGAGAGGGAGTTACACCAAACATACCAGCAAGGGGGGAGGGGGGAGGGGGAGTTCTCTAGCACTAATACTAACTTACACTCAGCTTTAAGTACGAATGCCAACCCCCCTCCCACCTACCCCCCCCCCCTCTCTCTCTCTCTCTCTCTCTCCCTCTCTCTCTTCGTCCTTGACTCAGTATTCTCCACCGTGAGGGAGAGTGTGCTCTCACTCTCTCACTTAACCATCTCAGTGATGAACAAAGTCACAAGGGGATGTGACGAGGATTCGAACTTATGTCCGAGAGCATCCCAGACGCTGCCTTAACCACTAATCTTAGTGGTGGTTTACTGAACCATCGTTAGAGAAGAAGCTATGGTGATTAGTTTAGTAGTTACCAGAGACGGAGTTATTCAACCAATGGGGAGATTATCTTGAGATGATTTCGGGGCTTTAGTGTCCCCGCGGCCCGGTCCTCGACCAGGCCTCCACCCCCAGCAAGCAGCCCGTGACAGCTGACTAACACCCAGGTACCTATTTTACTGCTAGGTAACAGGGGCATAGGGTGAAAGAAACTCTGCCCATTGTTTCTCGCCGGCGCCGAGAATCGAACCCCGGTCCACTCAGGATTACGTGCCCAGCGTGCTGTCCATTCAGCTACCTCCTCTTTCTCTGGAGTTGTGTGAGAGGGGGAGGGGGGGGAGGTCATGACAAATCAATTGCAGGTCAGGGTTTAAGATTTACAAAGGGGTTAGGGGGGAGTTAGGGGGTTAGAGGGGGGTGTGAGGGGGAGGGGGTGAAGGTAGGAGGGGGGCACAGGTGGGCCCAGGTAAGGGGAGGGGGAGGGGGGGGAGCCAATCAACTTCCTTGCTTCTATATCAGGAGCGTTAGCTTAAAATAGTGGCGGGTGACCCCTGGCAACTGCTCTCTCTCTCTCTCTCTCTCTCTCTCTCTCTCTCTCTCTCTCTCTCTCTCTCTCTCTCTCTCTCTCTCTCTCTCTCTCTCTCTCTCTCTCTCTCTCTCTCACACATTCTCTCTGTAGCTGGGCCGTGTTACCCATGCGGGCTTTACATTGCAAGCACCAACAGACTGCTTGATCAAGCCATCAATCAGTAGGGCTGATCAGTGACCGGACAACCGTTCCCGAAGCTCTCTCATCCCCGCTCACGCGCGTGAGTGTGTCTGTGGGGGGGGAGGGGGTGAGGAGGTGTGTGTGTGTGTGTGTGTGTGTGTGTGTATGTATGTGTGAAGGGGGGGTGTGGGGGTGTGGTTAAGGTAGGGGGGGACGGTTCTCATCTGTCTCACATACTGTCTCTCCCTCCCTCCTGTCACCCAGAAGTGACAGGAGGCTGCAGACAGGTTTATCCCGGCCCAAAAGGAGAAAAATGAAAAGCAACAGAAGAATCCATGGTTCAATCAGGAATGTAAGATAACGCAGCAATTGAGTAAAAGAACATAGAGAAACTACAGGAATAACAGAACACCGGAGAGCAGGGAGAGATACCAGAGGGCCAGAAATGAGTACCTCAGAGTGAGGAGGGAAACAGAGAGACAGTATGAAAATGACATTGCGAGTACAGCCAAGACCCAACCAAAGCTGCTCCACAGCCACATCAGGAGGAAAACAGCAGTGAAGGAACAAGTGATGAAACTGAGAAAAGGGGAGAACAAATTCACAGAGAATGACAAGGAGGTGTGTGAAGAACAAGAGATTCCAGGAGGTCTTCACAATAGAACAAGGAGAAGCCCCTGCACTAAATGAGGAGGCGGCAAACCAAGCAACCTTGGAGGAATTTGACCTCACCAGTGATGTCAAAAGGAATCTATTTGAGCTGAATGTGACAAAGGCTGTTGGGCCTTACAGAATCTCACCGTGGATACTAAAGGAAGGTGCAGAAGCACTAAGTGTGCCACTCTCTATGGTGTATAACTGGTCACTGGAAACAGGAGACTACCAGAAAGCTGGAAGACAGCTAATGTAGTCCCAATATACAAGAAGGGTGACAGGCAAGAGGCACTGAACTACAGGCCAGTTTCCCCTAACTTGTATACCATGCAAGGTGCTGGAGAAGATCGTGAGGAAAAGGCTCATAGACCATCTGGAGGGAAATTGCTTTTTAACACACCACCAACATGGGTTCAGAGATGATAAATTGTACCTCACAGGTATAACAGAATTCTATGACCAGGTGATAAAAATTAGGCAAGAAAGAGAAAGGTGGCCAGACTGAATTTTCTTAGACTGATAGAAAGCCTTTGACACAGTACCCCATAAGAGGCTGCTACAAAAGTAGGAGCAACAGGCAGGAGTAAACGGTAAGGTGCTACAGTGGATAAGGGAGTATCTATGCAACAGGAAACAGCGAGTAACGGTGAGGGGGGAGACTTCAGAGTGGCGAGATGTCACCAGCGGAGTCCCACAGGGCTCTGTACTTGGACCCATCCTGTGTCTGATATATATGTAAATGATCTTCCAGAGGGTATAGACTCACTCCTCTCAATGTTTGCTGATGATGCAAAAATTATAAGAAGAATCAAGACAGATGAAGATAGACAGAGACTACAGGACGACCTGGACAAATTTGAGAAATGGTTGAGAAAATGACTACTAAAGTTTAACTCAAGTGGGTGTAAAGTAATGAAATTAGGCGAAGGGAGCAGGAGGCTGAACACAAGGTACCATCTGGGAGATGAAATCCTGCAAGAGTCAAATATAGAGAAAAATCTGGGGGTTGATATCACACAGAAGCTGTCCCCAGAGGTCCATATTAAAAGGATATCATCAGCGGCATATGCTAGACGGGCCAACATAAGAACTACCTTCAGAAACGTGTGTAAAAAATCATTCAGAATCTTGTATACCACTAATGTCAGACGAATACTGGAGTATGCAGCTCCAGCTTAGAGTCCATACCTAGTTAAACACAAGACAGTTAGAAAAGAGTGAGAAGTATGCTACTAGACTTGTTAGGGAGCTTAACCTCCCGTCCCTGGAAGACAGAAGAGTAAGGGGAGACATGATCACCATCTACAAATTCCCAGGGTGGACAAAGAAAAACTATTTAGCATGGGGGATACTCTAACAAGAGGACACAGGTGGAAACTGAGTACCCAAATGAGCCACAGGGTCGTTAGAAAGAACTTTTTCAGTGTCAGAGTAGTTAACAGGTGGAATGCATTAGGCAGTGATGTGGTGGAGGCTGACTCCATACACAGTTTCAAGTGTAGATATGATAGAGCCCAGTAGGCTCAGGAACCTGTACACCAGTTGATTGACAGTTGAGAGGCGGGACCAAAGAGCCAGAGCTCAACCCCCGCAAGCACAACTAGGTGAGTATTCCCCTCCCACCGGTCTCTCCCACTCCCCCCCCCCGGTCTCGCCCACTCCCCCCCCCCCCCCCCGGTCTCTCCCACTCCCCCCCCCGGTCTCTCCCACTCCTCCCCCCACCATTCAGAACTTCCACAGTCCCACTCATTTATTCAGCAGCTCTATTATCTGTGTTGTGGAGCTGTTGTTTGTCTCTCTATAGGATGCCACACACAGTAGGAAGGTGTGTGTTGTGGTGGTGTGGTGGGGGGTGTGTGGTGGGGGGTGTGTGGTGGTGGGGTGTGGTGGTGGGCTGGTTGTGGTGGTGGGGGCTGTGGTGTGAAGGTGGGGCTGGGGTATGCTTGTAAGGAAGGGGGAAAGTGGGGGTAGTGGTGGTGGGGTGTGTATTTCCTATTTGTATTTAGAACTAAACTCCTGCTGGAGGCAGGATTTTACACACCTGTAAACTCGTGCCGTCAGCCACACACCTGCAAACTCCGGCGTGTGTGTGTGTGTGTGTGTGCGCGCGCGCGCGCACTTGAGTACTCACCTAGTTGTGCTTGCAGAGTCGAGTCTCTGCTCCTAAGCCTCGCCTTTCGACCATCATTAGTCCATTTAAGGTCGAAGAAGCTCTTTCCGACCTGCCTCTGGTTCACCTGTGTTTCCAGCATCATATTATGTCCTCTCGTTCCACTCTTCTTTAATGTGGAACCTTTCTTTTGACATTCCCGCTTTAGTATCTTGTATGTCGTTATCATGTTCCCTCAGAATTTCTTTATAGCTCAGGAGACTTATTTATTTTTTAATTTTTTTGTTAGGTTTCCTTAGGTAGGGATTGCATGTGTGTGTGTTTACTATTTGTGCCTGCAGAATCGAGCTATTAGCTCTTGGGCCCCGCCTTCGAGGGCCCGAGACAGGTCAAGAGGGCCCGAGACATATCTCGTGACAATCATTAAGGCAAATCCCACAACTTATCGCAACGCTACAATTATATACAATTAAAAACCAAACAGTAGGGTTATCTACAACAATGAAATTAATTACGCAAATTTAACCACAATCGGATACAAGATGTTCGGATTAATGCGGTGGGTGGCGGCCAGGCAGCAGCCGCCACAGCAGCATGGGCCAGCCGCCAGGCTGTGGATGGCCTTCTGGCGGCTTGCGGTGGCGGCTATGGGCCACCTGGCCAAGCCGCAGCACCACCTGGCCAAGCTGGTGCTGCAGGCCATCGTGGCCTTGGCGGTGCTGGCGCTGGCGGTGCGGTGGTGGCGCCGCAGGCGGGAGCGCTGCGAACTACTGGGCGCCGGCGCGCATGCCAAGGTGTTCGCTTGCCGCATGTCGCAGTGCCCGGAGGAGCAGGCGCTGTGCTTCAAGGTGTTCAACTGCGCCACGGAGGAGGAGGTACGGCAGGAGTACGACGCCCTGAGGGCCCTGGAGGCCGTGCCGGGCGTGCCCCGCGCCGTGGCACTCAATACCCAGCCGCTGGGCATCGTCATGACCCGCCACTGCGGCACGACCCTGCGGCAGGTGCTGGAGAAGGGCCGGCTGTCGTACCCACAGGCTCTGGAGGTCATGCTGCAGGTCTGCACGACTCTAGCTAGGGTGCACGAACAGGGCTACGTGCACAACGACGTACACCCTAAGAACATCAGCGTCGAACTGGCCGGCGGCGTCATCGAAGTCGTCGTGCTTGACTTCGGCTTGGCCACCGTCATCGGAGGTCGTCCAGACACCTTCCGCAAGCACGTGACTGACGACCCGGCCGAGCACGACCGAAACGAGACGCGACGACGTGCATTGTACCCGTGGTTCGCCCCGGAGGTGTTCCACGGGGGCGCCGCTACACCTGCGGCAGATGTGTATTCCTTCGCCTACACCTGCTTCATAACACTCACCTACGCTACGGGTGTAGCTAACACCCGTCGGGGGCCCCTCTGGAGGCCCCTGTGGTGGCCCCTGGGGCGGCGGGCCAGACCTGGGGGCTCGGCCTGGCGCAGGGCCAACCCCAGGCCATCGTGCTCTACCCAACAACACGTGGATGGCCCGCTGGGTAAGCTTATAGCTCAAGCTTATAGCTTTCAGGCCCAAGACCGGCCGCCTCTGACTGAGATGGAGCATTGGCTCTCTTGGGCTCTAAACCCGCCGTCCTCTACTCCACACCTGCCCTCCTGGGCTCTATACCTGCCTTCGTGGGCTCTATACCCGCCCTCATGGGCTCTACACCCGCTCTCGTCGACTCTACACCCGCCAACTTGGTCTCTAGATCCGCCGTTCTTTTCAACGTTTGTGCAAGAATCCGGTCCCGTCGTCCAAGAATCCGGTCCTGCCGTCCAAGAATCCGGTCCTGCCGTTCAAGAATCCGGTCCTGCCGTCCAAGAGTCCGGTCCTGCCGTCCAAAAATCCGGTCCTGCCGTCCAAGAATCCGGTCCCGTCGTCCAAGAATCCGGTCCTGCCGTCCAAGAATCCGGTCGTGCCGTCCAAGAATCCGGTCGTGCCGTCCAAGAATCCGGTCCTACAGTCGAAGACTCTAAACCCATCACTATCAATGTTTCTGGACCCATCACCATCCATGTCTCTGGACCCATCACCATCCAGATGTCTGGGCCGCAACCAGAAGCCTTTGGACCGTAACCAAAAGCCTTTGGACCGCAACCAGAAGCCTCTGGGTCGCAACCAAAAGCCTCTGGGCCGCAACCAGAAGCCTTTGGACCGCAACCAGAAGTCTCTGGGCCGCAACCAGAAGTCTCTGGGCCGCCTACCTCATACGACAAAAGCCTCCAACAACCTTGACAAGCACAACAGTTAGGGACAATTCCATCCACCTGGGCTGGGCTGGAGAATACGAGGTGTTGAGTGTGTTAATGGACTCAGGAGACATTAGTCTCAAGTTAGTGTTGAGAGCTGTGTCAAGTGTCCTCAGCCAAGCATGCAAGACTGCCTCTCAATACCACCTTCCCACGGGCACACACTCGTGGTTAAACGTGGACCACAGGGGGGTAGAACCACAGAGGGTAGAATCACAGGAGGTAGAACCACAGGGGGGTAGAACCACACAGGGGGGTAGAACCACACAGAGGGGTAGAACCACACAGAGGGGTAGAACCACACAGGGGGGTAGAACCACACAGGGGGGTAGAACCACACAGAGGGGTAGAACCACACAGGGGGGTAGAACCACACAGGGGGTAGAACCACACAGGGGGGTAGAACCACACAGGGGGGTAGAACCACACAGGGGGGTAGAACCCCACAGGGGGGTAGAACCACACAGGGGGGTAGAACCACACAGGGGGGTAGAACCACACAGGGGGGTAGAACCACACAGGGGGGGGTTCTGCAGCCCTGATATGACGAACCACTAGCCCCTGGATAATGATTCCTGCTGCATTTTTATGTAATGCAAAAATAAATTTGTTTCCGATTTACACATTTTTTTTCGCCGCGTAAATGGTTGCCTGTAAACCCATAAATTCCACGGCTCGCGTTAGTAAAACTGTGTAAATTAACATATTGTTTACATCCAACGACCAGTTGAGTTAAATTGGTGTTTGAATGTGATCATAAACAGTACTATGAGGCAATAACGTTGTTAAATATCAAAACAATTCATGTTTGGTTCCTGTTTTTTTTTCAAAGGTCTATCTAATGACATTTGATGAATTTAGACATCTCATCAATAAAGTTTATGGTGGTTATTTTTGTTTTCAAGTGCGGGATTGACTGAATTATCTTTATAGTATATGTTGTCATTGATTTAATCTTGTTAATCTGTAGAATTCAAAGGAATTACAAAAATACGTATTTGTTCATGTCTGATGTAATGGTTCAGGTGATTTTAAGTCTTGGACTGGACGGTAGAGCGGCTTGCACTTCATGCAGGTCGGTGTTCAATCCCCGACCGTCCATAAGTGGTTGGGCACCATTCCTTTCCCCACCGTCCCATCCCAAATCCTTATCCTGACACCTTCCCAGTGCTATATAGTCGTAATGGCTTGGCGTTTTCCCCCTCATAGTTCTGTTCCCCTTCTCTCTCTCCTTGGCTGTGTTGCTGGCTGTGATAATCGACGCCTCCTGGGAGCAAATTGCTAGGCAAATCAATATCTGTAATGAGGATGTCTGTGTTGGTCTGCCCCAAGGTTGGAAACATTGCAACTCTAGTCAAATTTTTACGACGTGACTTGTGGATGTAGATATGGGGGGATGGGGGAGTTGGGGGGATCCCATGCCCCCCATGAAGGGGGGGGGGGAGGCGAAGTGGGCTAGGGACAGGCCACAGAACCTTACCTTGAGGTGCTTCCGGGGCTTAGCGTCCCCGCGGTCCGGTCGTCGACCAGGCCTTCTGGTTGCCGGACTGATCAACCACGAACTGTTATGTCCGGTAAGTTGCATGAGAATGTGTACCATGTCAGCTACTGCAGTACCATTGTTGTTGTTGTTGTTTTTTTATTTAGCTACTCAGAACGAAATGTCCATGTAGCACGGGCTATGGTGAGCCCGTAATTGAGTTCGGTTATTCACGATAACCTTGTTACTCTGATATTTGGGTCAAAGTTTTAACTGGAGGTGGGGTTTCCTCCTCTTTCCCCTGTTTCTTTTTCGCTTCTGTTTTAGTCGTGTTTTATTAATAACATTATCTTGGTGGCGAATGTAGGTGCAGAATGTTCACTAGTGAGTCCCTTATAGTTTCCACACACCTCATCCCTGCTACATGACGGGTGAAGGTGAGGAGAAGACCCCGAGCGTCACAGAAACAACGAGGCTACTCAACTACGTCATTTGAGCCTCTGAAAGGCACAAATGCCATGACAAAGAACAACTTCCAATAAGAGAAATGGCATTATTTTACGTCTCATGACTTCAACAAAGCTCCCGTTTAAGGTGTAGAAGTCTAAGTTATTTAAAATTATTTCTTCCTCGTTTCTGCTCTGGACATGTGACTAGTTCCTCCCTCTTTCTCTCTCTCTCTCTCCCTCTCTCTCTCTCTCTCCCTCTCTCTCTCTCTCCCTCTCCCTCTTTCTCTCTCTCTCTCTCTCTCTCCCTCTCTCCTCTCCCTCTCTCTCTCTCTCCTCTCCCTCTCCTCTCTCTCTCTCTCTCCTCTCTCTCTCTCTCTCTCTCTCTCTCTCTCTCTCTCCTCTCCCTCTCCCTCTCTCCTCTCTCCTCTCTCTCTCTCTCTCTCTCTCTCTCTCTCTCTCTCTCTCTCTCTCTCTCTCTCTCTCTCTCCCTCTCTCTCTCTCTCTCTCTCTCTCTCTCTCTCTCTCTCTCTCTCTCTCTCTCTCTCTCTCTCTCTCTCTCTCTCTCTCCTCTCTCTCCTCTCTCCCTCTCTCTCTCTCTCTCTCTCTCTCTCTCTCCTGGGCTGGACGGTAGAGCGTCCACCTGGAGAGGGTTTCAGAAGTTCTTCTACTCCCAGACTTCACTTGTGATAATTTGGTCCAACATTTTTCTCGTATGATTGTTTTTCTATTTTTTATTTTTCTTCTATGATTTTTCTTCTGTGATGTGTGATTTTTTCTTCTGTGAGGGAGCCGGTCGGCCGAGCGGACAGCACACTGGACTTGTGATCCTGTGGTCCCGGGTTCGATCCCGGGCGCCGGCGAGAAACAATGGGCAGAGTTTCTTTCATCCTATGCCCCTGTTACCTAGCAGTAAAATAGGTACCTGGGTGTTAGTCAGCTGTCACGGGCTGCTTCCTGGGGGTGGAGGCCTGGTCGAGGACCGGGCCGCGGGGACACTAAAGCCCCGAAATCATCTCAAGATAACCTCAAGAAGATTGTGTCTGATTGTGTCCTGTACACTGTGTCCCTGTGTCCTGTATACTCTGTCCTGTACCCTGTGTCCCTGTGTCCTGTATACTCTGTCCTGTACCCTGTGTCCTGTATACTCTGTCCTGTACCCTGTGTCCTGTACCTGTCTTTTTGCAGAACGAAATGCATTTCGTTCTGCATTTTGCTTTTCGTCTAAGGCTTCCGTGCTTCTGTCATAGTGGTTGACTAACTGTGAGAAGACAGGATCTTCCCGCTCTAAATCCATGTTGTCCTGGGTTGTGAAGTTCATTATTTTCCATAAAACTGGAAATCTAATTCCTAATCACTCTTTCAAATACTTATAGATTAGGGTGAGTATGGCAGACATATTTTGCCACAATTTCAACAAGAACTTGTAACAATACTCCTTCACACACTGCTACACGCTGGAGTCTGATATTTTTCCGAGATTGGAAATTAATGTCAACTGCCATGTCATGCAAAAAAAAAGGGGGGGGGGGAAGGGGAGGCAATAGGGGTCGATGCACAACGACCTATGACCGTCCCCGAACAAAGACCAGTCACAGTGCAAAGTTTGGTGAGGTTAACCCCAGATATCTGGTCTCCAACCTCGAACATTCTCTTTAATATACAAATAAAATAATTAATGTACCTGTTATATTTTTCTTACTTAATGTATGTAAATTTGTTTCTATTTTACTCAGTTCTTTTGCTGTGAGCTGATGCCTCACCGACCCCAGGAGAATGAGGAACGGGTAATGATGATGTATTTATGTAAATGAGGAAAATGCAGCAATAAACTACCCTACCACCCCCCCCTCCCCCCCAAACAATGTTGGTCTGGCTATTTAAGGTTATCTGAGAACGTTTATGTTAATATTTAACAAGGTTTCAGACCTAATGCTCATGTACTCACCTAGTTGTGCTTGCGGGGGTTGAGCTGCGGCTCTTTGGTCCCGCCTCTCAACTGTCGTATAGATTCCTGAGCCTACTGGGCAGAGAACGATCACTATACATATATTGTGAGCGTTCTCTGTATGCGCCCAAGTTAATTTACATAGATTCTTATGTATGGCGACGTCTCGCTTCATGCACTACGGCGTTCAATCCCCGACCATCCAACTGCTTAACCACCATTCCTTTCCCCCCGTCCCATCCCACATCCTTATCCTGACCCCTTCCAAGTGCTACCTTGAGGTGCTTCCGGGGCTCAGCGTCCCCGCGGCCCGGTCGTCGACCAGGCCTCCTGGTTGCTGGACTGATCAACTGGTATAGAGTCGAAATAACTTACCGCTTTCTCGTGATAAATTCCCTTCCCGTCTAGAATTAAATATTAGAATCCTTCTAGAACAGTGTCGAGAAGAAGTTCCTAGGAAATTATATACCTCTCAGCTGTCGATGAAATCCTAACGAGTCTAACTAACGAATCTCTCACTTAGGCAGTGACTCAGAGGCTTTGCTAGAGTCCAGGTTGCACAATGTTGCATTTATTTCCGCTGACAACTGCTTGACATGTTGAGGAAAAGAATGAGAGGAACTTTGGTAAACAGAAGCGGGTTTTGGCAGATATATTGAGCTTGAGCATAGAGGCTAACACAGGGAGACAGCTGCGGGGATTCCGACCTTACTGCACGGTCAATATTCCCCGCTCTACACCTGAGGTTACAGGTGTGTGTGCTGGTGAGGCTTACACACCTGTTCTCCCCCGACCACCCCCCCCCCTCCCCCCCTGCACGCAAACATCGCTCCTGGCCGACATTCGTTCGTCCAATTAGTGTGTGTGTGTGTGTGTGTGTGTGTGTGTGTGTGTGTGTGTGTGTGTGTGTGTGTGTGTGTGTGTGTGTGTGTGTGTGTGTGTGTGTGCACGCG